AAATTCGACTTAATGTACCACAAATAATCCTGTACCACAAGATTTATGATCCAAAAGACAAGAGATCCAAAAGAATTCATTAATTCACTTCAAACCACTTCAACCACTTCAAAAACACGTGTTTCAAAGCAATTTTGGCGATGTTGACAAGATGTTTTTGATGAAAAACGGGGGTTGACTAGGGAAATATGACTCTGTGTATTACCCATAAAGCTCAACTTGTTGACATAAAAACAGGTCTGTCTTTGCAAGCGCAATAGGGACTTACGTGCTTTTTCTAGGGGTTTTTTTCTCAGGTTTTCCCGCAATTTCTCAGGTTTTCCCCTTCCTCCCCTTTATTGATAGACATCGTAAAAAAACAACCGAATGTAAGTAACTTTTGTGACTTTTGAGAAGCTTTGGGAGAGTTTTCAATCGTGAGGGAAGATTTTTGAGGGAAAGCTTCCGTGAGTGAAGCCTGGTTTGAGAAAATTTACACCTAAAATTGAGGGGTGGGTACAAAAAAAGGCTGCTAATCATATAAATTGTATAAATTGGCAGTAGAAATTGGTTGCTAATCGTTTAAATTGTATGGATTGGCTGTAAATTGGTTGCTAATCAGATAAATTGTATAAATTGGCAGTAGAAATCGACTGCTAATCGTTTAAATTGTATAGATTGGCTGTAAATTGGTTGCTAATCATATAAATTGTATAAATTGGCAGTAGAAATTGGTTGCTAATCGTTTAAATTTTTATAAATTGACTGTAAATTGGTACCTACGATCAAAATTGACTTCAAAAAAGCTTAAATTATCGTATCAAAGCTTCTTATCTCACCAAAGAGCTCCTTGAAGCGATTTGAGATCAAAGAGCTTTTAGGAGCGATTTGACTAGGTGATTTGACTTGATTCCAAGGTGCAAACACCCCATCAAGGGCAGCTTGAAACGGCTTGCAAAACATGCTTCAATAGGCTAGTGGATAGTGTGCTAGCGTGTCGATCTTTTTTTGTCCCTGGCTCGGATCCACTGTCGATCAAACCTTGCTCCTTTTAGAAAAACACTTGAACATTAGTTTTTTTTATCAGTAGTCTCTTTTACCAGCGATCAGTAATCTCTTTTTTCTCTTACAATCTCTTGCCGGCAGCCCAGTGTGCTAAGGATACCCCTTTTGTCCCTGGTAAACGAAAATCGAACGAAATCCTCTCGCTGGCAGCCTCTAGGCTTGAGTTTTTACGCTAGTTTTAACTTATTATCTTACACTTAAAATAAAATTTTCAGAAACGATGTTGAACGATATCGAAATGGAACCGGGGTCGCGTTGTGCTCGATGGCGGCGGCTGATCTTTGCAGCTTGTTGCTGATTGGTGTTCACAATGCTCATGTGATGAATCTCGATGTGGGAGTGAGCCCGAGTATGGCTCGACCGTTTTGCAAGGTTTGTATGGCTTCTTTGCTCAAAACTTGAATCTGGTAAAGGTAAACTGCTTGTTTCGCTACTTGTTTCAGAATGTAAGCCGGTAAGAAATTTAAGTAAGAATGCAAAAATGCCAAGAAGAATGTAAGAAGAATGCAAGAGGAATGTAGGGAAGAATGTAGGAAGAATGTAGGAAGAATGTAGGAAGAATGTAGGAAGAATGTAGGAAGAATGCAAGAAGAATGCAAGAGGAATGTAGGAGAATCTAAGAGAATGTACAAATCAACGATGCACTTGCTTCAGGGAATGCTCTTCCTCACCCATACCATTACCGGGATCTCGATCTGGTCTTGGCTATTGCTTTCCTCACTTCGCTACCTCGCCATCTGCCATCCATTGTATCATCTTCTTGAATCTGGCAAATGCCCTATCGAGCGTTGGCTTTTTATTGTAAGTTTTATCATTGTAAGTTTTATCATTATAAGTTTATCATTTCTTTTCAAAGCCAAAAAACCCATCGCTTTTCACAGAATCCAAAAAATCAACTAGCAAAACTTTATTCGTATTCGAAATTTTCTCACAAAAAACCCTTCAATTTGAGTCTATTTCTGAAAGTGCATTGATGTGTGAAAAAAAGGGGGATTTCCTGTTTCAAGGCTACATTTAAAATAAATGCTTTTCGTCTATTTCCCAAAAATGAATTCTGATCTGTAATTTGAAATAAGAAAACTGAAGAAAATGCTATAAATTTTCTTTTTGTAGCTTGCTGAAAGTTCAGCTTCTAAAAGTTCAGCTAAGCTTTAAAGTTCAGCTTTAAAGTTGTGCTTTAAAGTTCAGCTTTAAACTTGTGCTTTAAGCTTGAGCTTTAAACTTGAGCTTTAAAGTTGTGCTTTAAAGTTGGGCTTTAAAGTTGAGCTTTAATCTTGAGCGCCTAAGTTGAGCTTTAAAGTTCAGCTTCAAAGTTCAGCTCAAAGTTGTGCTTCAAAGTTGGGCTTTAAACCTGAGCTTTAAACTTGAGCTTTAAAGTTCAGCTCCAAAGCTGATCTAGAGTTGAGCTTCAAAGTTGATCTAGAGTTGAGCTTCAAAGCTGATCTAGAGTTGAGCTTCAAAGCTGATCTAGAGTTGAGTCAAAGTTGATCTAGAGTTGAGCTTCAAAGCTGATCTAGAGTTGAGCTCCAAAGTTGATCTAGAGTTGAGCTTCGGATCTAGAGGAGCTCAATCTAGAGTTGAGTTAACCTTGTTGCACTTATGATTTAAGGATCTTATGATTAAAAAAGACTAAAGGAATTGGTCAATTTGAAAATTTTCATTCATTTACAACCAAATTAAACCGCTTTCTGAGTCACTCTCTTAAGCTTTTCATTCAAATGGGATAAGCTGTGGCTAATCGAGAAATCTTTCGTCTTTCCCCGCTAGTGAATTATTGAGCAACTCGTTTCTTACTTTAAAAAATTTCTCTTTCAAGATCAAGGTAAAGATTTGGAACAGAAACAGAAACAAAAAACATTTAAAATAAACAAATAAACAAAGAATCTCTTTCTCTAGTCAATGTCAACTCTGTTGAATATCTGGTTGCTTGTGGCGATTGATGCGAGACCGAATGGAGAAGGTGCACTCAGGTAAAGTTTAGAAGTGAAAGCTACAAAATATCATTTAGAATCTCTCAGATTTTCAAATTACTAACATTTCTAGCTTGTTTACAGCTTTAATTCTCCAAGTTCATGTTCCAACTGAAGCCCGGAGTCCTGTAAGCCAGGCCAGGCTAGCTAGGCCAAAGCTAGGCCAAAGCTAGGCCAAAGCTAGGCCAAAGCTAGGCCAGAAACTAGATCAGAGCCAATTCTAGGCCTGACTTCTAGCTGGTTCAATAGTTTTTGTAATAAGAAGTGAAGGAATTGACAAGAAAAGGGAGAGGAGAACTGTCGAGCTTTTTGCTTTCCAGGGCGAGGAACTAGGTCAGAGTTGGCTCAAATGCTCTAACCACTGAGCCATCCAGGACTAACTTGAGAGAAAGAGAAGGGAAGAGAAAGAGGGAAAGAAGAAAGGAAGAAAGGAAGAAAGGAAGGAAGGAAGGAAGGACGGAAGAAAGAAAGAAAGGAAGAAAGGAAGAAAGGAAGAAAGGAAGAAAGAAATAGTCTTCAGAACCGTCAGAGGCTTGGATCTAGACCTAGAAAATTTGCTCTTGAAACCATTCTGATAGTTGAAGCTTTCGGAACCGACTATTATATTAGGTTGGTGCAGATGAAACTTCCGTCACACTTGTTTGTTTATATTTTGAACCTAATAAAAGTTTTTATTGAAGATATTTGTCTATCTGAAAGAGCGTCTCTTTGCGCGTCTTTTTGATATCTAAGACTTATGCGTTTTACTTAATTTGAAGTAATTTTTTAGCTTCTAGAAAATGGTTGACGAAAAATTTCGAGTGCGGGTTTGCTTGTTGTATGATTTTAAACAAGGCAGAACGCCTGCGGAATCTCATCGTGCTCTGTGCAAAGCATTCGGCGATGACGTGTTGTCCGAACGTCAATGCCGGACTTGGTTTCAGCGCTTCCGAGACGGTGATGAGAGTTTGGAAGACGAAAAACGCGGGAATCCGCCTCAAATTGTCGACAACGATGAGTTGAAGAACGCTATCGAATCGGATCCATGCCAAAAAACTCGGGAGCTTGCAGAGCTGTTTGACTGCGACCATACAACCATTCTCCGCCATTTGCACGCAATTGGTAAGACGAATCAGTGTGGAAAATGGGTGCCACATCAGCTCAGCGACGCAAACAAAGCGGCTCGAGCTACGATGGCTGGAATTCTCGTCCGCCGCGCAAAGACCGCCGGTTTTCTCGACTCCATTGTTACGGCAGATGAAAAGTGGATATGTTACGACAACACAGCAAGAAAACGGCAGTGGTTGGACGCCGGTGAACCGCCAAAACCGACTCCCAAACCGAATATCCACGGAAAAAAGGTGATGCTTTGTATTTGGTGGAATAGTAAAGGTCTCGTGTATTCTGAGATGCTGGATTCGGGCCAAAGAGTCACGGCGGATCTCTACAAAGCCCAATTGAGCCGCGTGGACCAGGTATTGCGTCGTCAAGGCAATAACACGGCGACTACAAAATTCCTCCACGATAACGCTCGACCCCACACCGCAAAGATCACCCAGCAGAAAATCGAGGATTTGGACTGGGAAGTTCTGCCTCATCCGCCATATAGCCCGGACTTGGCCCCATCCGACTACCACTTGTTTCGGTCGATGCAGCATTCTTTAGCAGGAAAAAAACTCAAGAACCGCGAAGAAGTTGAAATCTGGGTGTCCAACTTCTTCGAGTCGCAGTTGCCCGAGTTCTTCGAAAAGGGCATCCATTCTCTGCGTGGAAGATGGCAAAGAGTCATTGATAATGATGGCGAATATCTTTTGGATTGAGGTTCTGTATTAGGATTTTTATAATAAATTTTGTTTATGGTTCCAACGGAAGTTTCATCTGCACCAACCTAATATAATACTTGTGTTCTTTACATTGCATAGATCAAACCTTTTAAACCCTCGATGGATCGTTGTATTTGTTAAACTCTAAAAAACCGTTTTTATCTATCACCTTCAGGTCCCGATCATGAAAAACTCGATGACGGCCAACCGGGTTTTCCACATTGTCGAGTGCATTTGGTCATTTTGTATCCCGTGTGCGGTCATCGTCATCATGGATACTTCTGTTGTGCTTGAATCAACGTTAGCTTTATTGATAATAATAATAATAATAATCTCATCTTCAGATATTTCTTCAACTTTCTAATTCATAAATATTTCAGGTCATTTCGTTGGTTTCGCGTGAAGAAAGGAGAGTTGAAAAGAAGGAAAAGCGCACTCGAAGAGATCATAAAACTCACAAGATCGAATTCGGGGAGAATGAAGGTGAGGAAAAGATATAAAACACAATACTTTATGATTAGAAATTTCAAAATATTCATTTTGAGTCTATTGAAATGAATTTTGAACTGATTGAAGGGATTGTTCAGAGTAAGATTTGCTACAAAAGTTGAAGTCCAATTGAACTAAAACAATCAGTAAAAGATTCAGAGAAACAATGAAAAACTGTACTTATTATGTAAATTATCATAATTAGCATGTCAAACAAGGCAAACATCTTTCTGCTTTTGCTTCTTCTTCTTCTTCTGCTTCTTTTTCCTCTTCTTCCTCTTCTTCCTCTTGTTCCTCTTCTTCTTCTTCCTCTTCTTCTTCTTCTTCTTCTTCTTCTTCTTCTCCCTTCTTCTTCCTCTTCTTCTTCTTCTTCTCCATCCCTCTTCTTCCTCTTCTTCTTCTTGTCAATAACTTTTCAATTCTCTGGTTCAGTTACACAATCTGGAAATCCACACTTTGTACAGACTCTATCAGATCTGTTAAATCTATTTATATTCTTTCAAATCCTATAAATAAACCCTTTCTAGTACACTCCTTTTCATTTCTTGTTTTCATTTAATTAGAGAAATAACAATAATGAGGTGTTCAAGCTCGTAGAAACATTTCCGATTGGGTAACTAAATCAAAGCTAAACCAGTCCAAAGCTAAACCAGTCCAAAGCTAAACGAGTCTAAAGTCAAACCAGGTAACTAAACGAGTTGGATAACTAAACACCACATGTTTTCCAATATCAATTCCAGTTCCAGGCTCGTCAACAGCGTGCTCTTTGTCGTTGGTTGTTAATCGCTTTGATTTGTGTTCTTTTGAACACCCCTGAGAATACGATTCGTCTGATTAGTCTTTTTGGGATCATGGAAGGATTCAACACAAGTCCCTATTACTTCATTGCCCGGATGCTTGCTCAAGTGCTGTATTTCAGGTAGAAAAAGCTCTAACTTTTTTTTGATGGAGTTCGGTTTTTTCAGTCAATTCGCTTTCAATGCGATCTACTTAGCGCTTTTTGTGTACGACAAGAGTAGCCGAGCAAAACATGTACATGATGGAAGCAATTATAATTCACATGCTGGTGAGTGTGCTAATGTAAATTACAGTGCTGTTACAAAGCCAGGTTAGATAGTAATCTAGGCTAGAGCTAGGGCAGGGTCAGAGTTCGGGATCAGGGCCAATGGCCGGGCAATGGGGGGGACGCCGCGACCAATGCTAGGTCAATGCCAAGCCAATGCCAGACCAATGCTAGGCCAATGTTAGGCCAATGTTAGGACAATGCCAGTGTTAGGCCCAGAGCCAGACTAACTGACAGACCAATGCCAGTGTTAGGCCCAGAGCCAGACTAACTGACAGACCTATGCCAGGCCAATGCCAGTGTTAGGCCCAGAGCCAGACTAACTGACAGACCAATGCCAGGCCAATGTCAGTGTTAGGCCCAGAGCCAGACTAACTGACAGATCAGTCAGATTTTGGCTTTATAACTAAGATAGGCTTTATCACTAAATCAAGATATCTTCTTGTATTTAATATCAAAATATGTAACAAGTTTATACACTAAAAGCTATCAAAGATTTAAATAAGCCAAAAAAGAGATATTCGTGCATATCTGTGCATCTTAGTGCATCAAGTTTAGCTCTAGAAATTCTCTATCTCTGCAGAGAATTGCAAGAAACAAAAAAACCAATCTAGCAGTCGATCAACTAACCAGGACTCATGCACAAAAGCCCAACCTCACCGCTCATTTCAGTTCACCACGTGATCGTGGCCGAGGCTCTTGTGCAACATTTTGCTTTTTACATGAGTTCCTCGCGTACAAATTCCCGTCGTACCACAATGAAATCAGTGAAATCCGCTGGCGCGTCGGCGTCAACCAAAAAGTGATTAGCATGTCGAAATGGGCACATTTTCTCACTTTACACCCAAATCTATAGCACTTTTCTCATTTCAAAGTACACGATCTCATCAAAATCTATCCTTTAATTGAAAAAGAAAAGCTCAGAAGCCATTAGAAAATAGATCATTGCAAATCTTAAGCAATTTCAGCTCTCCCTCATCCACTGAGATCTCGTCGTGGGTCCACATGTTGTGAGAGTCCGCCGTTGGCCCCAAGGACGAGTCCGCCGATGATTCCAAACGGGAAACTCTTGCATCCACAAATGAGTCTCACAACAAGTCGATCACTTCTCGATCCATTGTTCTCATCGCCGGAAATCTCATCGAGCGATCTCGCAGATCTCGCAGAGCGAGAGATATCGCATAATTGATCTGTGAATTTGTAAATTATCAAGACATGGTGAATTAAAGAAAATCAAAGAAATCAAAATCAAATTAAATCAAAGAAAATGGAGGAAATGAAAGAAAATTCATTTGTTCAATGCAAGAAATTCAAGAATTTCTCGAATTTCTTGAATTTCAAGAAAAATTTAAGAAATTCATTTACCCTAAAGTCGCGAGTATAAGTTCTGCTCGGTTTTCGCATGCAAATTGACGGCTGTCTCCGGTGCGGTGTGTCGAGGGTTCGAACCCCGCTGCAGCATAATTTTTTTGCTTTTTAAGAACAATAATAGAAGTAAATTTATTGAGGGTTATAGCAATTTTATGCTGTTATTTGTTGCTCCGGGCGTGGCTCGGCGCGTCCGCCCTGCTCCTCTCCAGTGCTCAGTCTTATGGATCCCTCCCTGGCCTCTTCATGGCCCTCCCTGGCCTCTTCATCCGGCCAAAGTCCACGTCGACGGTCGAAAGAGATGCTTTCCAGCGTCTTCTTCAACACTATCGTCTGGATGTATCCATGCACATAACAAATAGCAATGGTGATAGGCTGTCAACAATGGTGATAGGCTGCCAGCAATGGTGATAGGCCTGTAGTATCCCGCGCTCCAAGAACAATAATAAAAGTTTATATAACAATAAAAATGTATAAAAACCCAACAAAAAGAAATTCAAAGCAATTAAAGCGAATGTAAATTAAGGCAGAACTTATCCTCGGATGAACCTATACTCGAGACTTTAGGGTAAAACAAAAATTTCTAGCTGTTCTGATTGCTGACTGCTATTCTGTTTTTGTGAAATATTCATATCTGAATCTGAATCTGACTATCTTTTAATATTCTTAACCAATGATTTTTTGATTTCATGACTTATAAACTAAAAAAATTGTGACTTCAAATTTAAAAACAATTTTAAAATTGTTTAAGGGCACAGTTTGATCGTTTAATCGTTTAATCGTTTAATCTTTGTATCTAAATTTCTTTTTCTTTAACTGAATCACTTTTATTTTCTTTATCTTTATCTTTTATCATCAATAACTTTTAACTGAATTGGAGCTGAATTTGGACTTTCTTTAACTGAATTTGGTGATAATTGGATTATCACCAATTTCTTTAACAAATTCCCCCGGGGTACGCTAATTTCCGCAATTTTTTTTTGCGCAATAGGGTCATTTGCGTTTGCGTTTGCGCAACTCGCCATAACTTTCCTTTAAGTGGACCAATCTTTATGATTTTGGTTTCATTTTGTTGCACTTATTGAGATCTACAAAATGGCACAAAGAGCAAAAAGATTGGCCCACTGAGAAGAAAGTTGTTGATCAAAAGAGTCAGAAGGAAGATGGTCATGAACTAGATGAGTCATAACTTTCTTCTAAATTGGTCAATCTTTCTGCTCTTTGTGCCATTTTGTTGCACTTATTGAGATCTACAAAATGAAACCAAAATCATAAAGATTTACCAACTTAGAAGAAAGTTATGGCAAGTTGCGCAAATGATCCAGTTGCGCAAATGCGTAAAAGATTAGCGGAAATTAGCTTACCCCATTTCCCCTTTTAAAATTTCCTTTTTTTGCCATTTATTTTACGGGTTTATTCTCCAATCGATCTCGGCTATTTATATTATTTTTCTTTTTCTGATCGGGTTTTGTAAAATAAATCTGTTTTTACTCTTTTAAAGGTTTTACTTCAAAATACACTTGTTTACAATGAAAATATTGTTGGTTTGTGTGGTGAATCACGGAAAATCGCGAAATAACAGAAATAATTGAGCGAATGGGTAGAATAAACACAGAAAAGAGGAGAATTTTGAAGAAAAAAAGAGCTCTAGTTTGTTTTGTTAGAGATTCTTTTGAATAACAGAAATCAAAACTGATGGAAATTTAGCATCAAATAGATTTTTTATGTCTTTATTTGTATTTTCGCCTTTCAAATTGGCCATTTTCAATTTTTTATCGAGAAAATCACGAAAACTAGATGTTTTTCTTGTTGGTCAGTCACCCTAGTCAAATTCTCTCTCAAAATCAGCGTTAGTTTTGTAAAATCATAGCGTTACTTTTGTAAAATCAATTATTCATGCATAAAAAGTCGTTTTATCGAAATTATTGCATTAAAATGCAAAAATCTCGAGCCCCTCGAATTTTTTCAAAAAACTGTTTAGACAGTCTTGTAGCCTAAACTTTTTGAAACATATAATTTCTTGGTCAGAAATTGATTGGCGGTAGCCTCGAGGAGTTCGGGCCGTTAGGCTGAAAGTCGCAAAATCCTGGGTCAAAATCCAAAATCACTCGCCAAATCGGTACCAGATTGGAAGGTCTTCCAACAATTTTTCCAATTCAACAATGTCTTTGCACCAAGCACTTTCTAATTCCACAATATCTTCCAACAATTCTTTCTAATTCTACAATGTCTTTCACTATTGGAACCAAATCGGTGCCATATTGGAAACTTATTGGATGCAAATCGGTTGCGGAATGGAAACGTACTGGAACCAAATCGGTTGCGTATTGGAAACGTATTGGAACCAAATTGGAAACGTATTGGAACGAACCCAGTTGCATATTGGAAACGTATTGGAACGAACCCAGTTGCATATTGGAAACATATTGGAACGAACCCAGTTGCATATTGGAAACGTATTGGAACGAACCCAGTTGCATATTGGAAACATATTGGAACGAACTCAGTTGCATATTGGAAACATATTGGAACGAACCCAGTTGCATATTGGAAACGTATTGGAACGAACTCGGCAAATTGGAAACGTATTGGAACGAACCCAGTTGCATATTGGAAACATATTGGAACGAACCCAGTTGCATATTGGAAACATATTGGAACGAACCCAGTTGCATATTGGAAACGTATTGGAACGAACCCAGTTGCATATGGGAAACGTATTGGAACCAAATTGGAAACGTATTGGAATCAAATTGGAAACGTATTGAAACGAAATTCCGCTACAAAACAGTCGCGGAATCCCATTGAGATTTGGTCAAAGCATTTGGGAATGATGTTTTGTCCGAAAGCCGATGCCGAGCCTGGTTCCAACGCTTTCGGAATGGTGATAAAAGTCTCGAGGATGATGAACACTCTCGTTGACCTCAAGCAATAGACAACGATATTTTGGGGGCTGCAATCGGATCGGATCCATGTCAAACGACGCGAACTTGCTCAGCAGTTTCTATGTTCAAATTCTACTATTGATGAGCATCTCCACGCCATTGGAAAGGCGATCTGGTGCGGGAAATTCGCTTCCTCACGAGTTAAGCAGTGCAAACGCTCGTTTAGATCCGAACAACCTAATATTTCTATGATTCTATTTCCTCTTGGGGAAATAAGGCGCCTATAGCTTGGTGGTAGAGCATCTGACCGGTAAGTGGAATGTCGAGGCTTCAATTCTTCAAATTCTTTGCCATTCATTTCTTTACTTTATTATCAAAAATTATGTTTGAGAACTTTTATTGAATTCCATTTTTAATATTTCTCGATTCTTTAAAAATGATTCAATGGCCTATTCGAAAAACTAAAAGAATCAAATCAAAAAAAATCAAAAAACAATGCTATAAATGCTTTGATTGCTTTGATTTTTCCAGATTTTATTAATCATTTCTTTCAAAATTGCCCTAAATTCTTTAAAAATTCTTGAAAAAGCTTGAAAATCTTGAAAAGTACATCAAAGAGATCAAAGAAATGACTATTTCAGTAGTCTTTTCCTTTCGTTATCTCTTTGTTTGACCAAAAAGAGAGAAACAGAAACAGGGAAAGGTTTCTGGCTCTCTCATCTGCATCTCCGAGAATTTACAACCAGAAATTGAAAGCACAAATTGAAACGAGAAATTTATATCTCTTTTTACTATTTTACACTTTGAAAATCTTTAAAGCTCTTTTTGATTTTAATATTTTTAAAAGAAAAATCTTATTACCATCCCAAATGGCTTACAGTAAAGCAAGCTAGGCCAGGCTTAGCCTACAGTAGAGCAAGCTAGGCCAAGCCTAGTCTACAGTAGAGCTATGCCAGACCTAGCCAGGCCAGACTTAGCCTACAGTAAAGCAAGCCATGAGACTCGACTTATAGTTTTTCATTTAAAAACCCCTTTTATATCGCCGTATTTACTTTGATCTTATTTTTTCTTTGCTATAAAATACTTTTCCACCCTAAGTCGTATCCAGAATTTCAGAGAGCCTCTTGAAAATTGTTGGAAAGTCCTAGAAGTACACGTACAGTGTGGTCATCCTTATCAAATTACAATCGGTTCTCATCATCTTTTCATCTTTTCCATCATCTTTCCCTTTATCATTCTTTTGCGAACCGTATTAGTAGGGTTTGGAATAAGCTCCCGTCTGGTATCTTCTCGTCTGTAGGAAAATTCAAAGTATCTGTAAACAAATTAGCTCTTTTTGCCATGTCAAATCTGCCCTAGATTTAATCTTTTTGTACCTGTGTTTCCTAACTCTACTGTACTACCTGTACTGTACTAACCCTACTGTACTACCTGTACTGTACTACCTGTACTGTACTACCTGTACTGTACTAACTCTACTGTACTAACTGTACGGTACTAACTCTACTGTACTACCTGTACTGTACTAACTCTACTGTACTAACTCTACTGTACTAACTGTACGGTACTAACTCTACTGTACTACCTGTACTGTACTAACTCTACTGTACTAACTCTACTGTACTAACTGTACTGTACTAACTGTACGGTGCTAGCTGTACGGTGCTAACTGTACTGTAATAACTGTACTGTACTACCTGTACTGTATTAACTGCACGGTACTAACTCTACTGTACTACCCGTACTGTACTATCTCTACTGTACCATCTGTACTGTACTAACTGTACTGTACTAACTGTACTGTACTACCTGTACTGTATTAACTGTACGGTACTAACTCTACTGTACTACCTGTACTGTACTAACTCTACTGTACTAACTGTACTGTACTAACTGTACGGTGCTAGCTGTACGGTGCTAACTGTACTGTACTAACTGTACTGTACTACCTGTACTATACTACCTGTACTATTTATTCACTTTTTTTAGTTTTCCTTTTGGTTTTTGTGAAAGTATTGTAGCAATATGTTAAATGCGGTTACGATTATCTGGTTCGCTTCTATTCGCCCCTGAATAAAGCATATATACGTTACGTCCGATTTAGACTCAACCTAAATCGGACGTCCGATTTAGATTGAGTCTAAATCGGACGAAAATCTAAATCGGACGTAACATATATAACATTCTAATAACATTCTAATAAAATTCTAATAACATTCTAATAAAATTCTAATAACAAAATCTAACATTTATCATTGATTTGTTCAACGGTTTCAATATGTTTTTCGAGAAAAAGGAGAAACGAGAAAGGTCAATCCGATTACTCTCTTTTCTATTTTTTCATTTTTTTTCGGAAAATGTTGATCAGTTCGTTTCATAGTAAATGATGATCAAATCATTTTTGAATCAAATAAAGTCATTTTTGAAAAATTTGAACATGAGAAAACTTTTAAATTTGCTTTTTTTCAAAATTTCAATCTAAAACCTATTCTACTTTTTCGTTTTTCATTGGTAAACATAAAAATTCGTTTTTTCTCTCAAAAAGCCACAAAATCCGACTGAATCGATGATCGGTGGGATCCATTTTTTTTGAAAGAAACGTTTTGACTCAAAGTTTATTTACTATTTTTTTGCTGATTCTCCAATTTTTTTTATATCTTTATCAATTTTACATCTTTTATATCTTTATTTCTTTATTTCTTTATATCTTTAATAATTTTCATAAAACTTTTGTTTAGAATGGAACTTAGAATTGAATTGAATTGTTTAGAATTGAATTTATTAGGTTGATGCATAAGTCTTTTTGTTCCTTTTCGTCTGCCGTTTCAAGCCAACAAATGCACCAATTAAACTACGGTTGATTTCATTAGAAAAAGCAATTATTTTTCTGCAAAATAACATTCAAACGGGGTTTAAAAATATTGAATGCCTGGATTTTCTTGAGAGTATGAAGTCGGGTAGTCAAAAAGGGCTAACTCGATGATGCGGTTTAGACACCTTAGCTAAAGATAGCTAAAGAAAACCTATCTTCGTGTCAATAGATAAAAGATAGAGAAAAAAAACGTTTGATATTTCGCCAAAATTTCAGAGAAATTCATTCAGCCAATTTTTCCGTAGAGTTTTTTATAGATTTTTACGAAAAAGGCGTTTTTCACTCTCGAATTTGCTTGAAAGTGAACCGAAATTCATTTAAAAAGATGCAAATTGAACAAAAAAAACACTTTTTTTATAGAGCAAACTATAGATTAATTCGTGAATTTGTTACTTTTTAACAGAAGTACGAAAAAAACGAAAAGACTTATGCATCAACCTATTAATTGTTTAGAATTGAATTGAATTGTTTAGAATTGAATTGAATTGTTTAGAATTGAATTGAATTGTTTAGAATTGAATTTAATCGATCAAGAAACTTTGCAAGAAGAATTTCAATAAGAAACGATGGCCGGAGGAGCTGTGGTTTGTTGTAAAAATTGGGATAAAAACAAAACAAAGGAGTAGTTGAACTTAAGAAACTTATAGATAAAGGCTGGCTTGTGATTTAGCTTGTGCTTTAGCTTGTGCTCTAGCTTGTGCTTTAGCTTGTGCTCTAGCTTGTGCTCTAGCTTGTGCTTTAGCTTGTGATTTAGCTTGTGCTCTAGCTTGTGCTCTAGCTTGTGCTCTAGCTTGTGCTCTAGCTTGTGCTTTAGCTTCAAACATAAAATTTGACAATTTAGCCATAAAACTTGACAATTTTTAGATTTTTAGATAGCTCAAAGCACATCGAGTCGACCACAACCGGCCGAGTTGCCGAAAACGACTTTCTATGTGGTACTCTTGACGTGTTTAGCGTGTGTGGGAGGATTGCTATTTGGATATGATACGGGTGTTGTGTCGAGGTAAAGCTTCTTAATGCTTTAATTTTGTAATTGTACAGTCGACTCTCTCTATAATGGAATGGAAGGGACCAAAAAAAATTATTGCGTTATATAGAACTTTCCGTTATATTAGGTACATGCATAAGAAATGCGAATTTCAACATTTTCAACACAAATTTCCAACGATAGAAAGCTGATGTTATAAACTAGAATCGATGAATGTTATAAACTATTTGAAAGTTGTAAATCTACTCTACAAAATAGGCTAAAACGTTTTTCAATTGATCGAAACATTGAAGAAATTTCGAGGGTGAAATGCGAGTGACCAAAAAAGGAATCGAGTCACTTTAGGGACAAGTTTAGTGTCGTCAAAATAATTCGCTTTTGACTATATAGTGGAAAATGAGCGCCCTTCATTCAAAATCATTCAAATATCATTCAAAATAATTAAGAGTTCGGATCATTTCATGGGAAAGCTTTGCTTTTACGATCATTTTTCTTTTTTGTGAAAAAGCCGGTTTTTTGGGAATTTTGAGGGTTTTGAACTTACGCTCTAAATTTCTAAATTTTTGTAAATGCATTTCAGTTAGACTTTTTTTTTGAATGAATTGATCTATAGTTATCCTTTTTTCTTTTTAAATCTTCAATTTTGGAAAGCTAACTCTATTTTGACAACACTAAACTTGTCCCTAAAGTGACTCGATTCCTTTTTTGGTCACTTTCGCCCTCGAAATTTCTTCAATCGTTCGATCAATTGAAACACGTTTTAGCTCAGGTTAAAGACTAAGCCATACTTATCTTAGTTCAGATATCTGATTGATCCTGCCAGACTGCTAGCTCAGGTTAAAGACTAAGCCATGCTTAACTCTATTTTGACCACACTAAACTTGTTCTTGAATTTTGAGGGTTTTGAACTTACGCTCTATCTAAATTTTTGTAAATGCATTTCAGTTAGACTTTTTTTGAATGAATTCATCTATAGTTATCCTTTCTTTTTTTAAATCTTCAATTTTGGAAAGCTAACTCTATTTTGACCACACTAAACTTGTTCCTAAAGTGACTCGATTCCTTTTTTGGTCACTTGTATTTCACCCTCGAAATTCCTTCAATGCTTCGATCAATTGAAACACGTTTTAGCCTATTTTGTAGAGGAGATTTACAATGAAATAGTTTATAACATTCATTGATATCAGCTTTCTATCGTTGGAAATTTATGAAAATGTTGAAATCCTTCTTATGCATTGCTTATGCATCTACCTAATATAAAGGGCCGTTATAGCTTAGCATCGGTCGGGGCCAAGCTTTCATTCCATTATAGAGTTTTCCGTTATATAAAATGCCGTTATATAGCTTACTAGGGAAAGGCACTAGGTCAAGGTGGTCTTTTTAATATAGAATGGATACCGTAAAAGCATATTCAGAATCGTCTATGCTGATTCTGAATATGCTTTTACTTTTTCCAAATGAGCTCTGTAACGCGAGATATCTGACATCGAAGTTTAGGCCGACTTTCGGAGTCCTTATAAGCTTTTTCTCTCTCCCTTAAATGCGGAGCTAGTGGCGCAGTGGATATTATTAGAAAGATTACTAATGCGTCTATTAATGCGGCCAGAACTTTTCAGCAATCCAGAAGGAAAAAATTTCGTCTGAATGTTTAGGGATAGAAATTCGATGTGAAAAAAGTTTTTTGGGTTTATAAGTTTATAAGTTTATAGGTTTATAAGTTTAGTGTTAAGTTAAAACTTGTCTAGTGCCATGTTATTCTTGCCGGATAACGAGGGAATGAAGGGATTGAACACAGTGTGGCAAGAGTTGATCATCAGCATCACTCCCGGAATGGCTGGTATTGGTGCGTTGTGCGCGGGTGAGCCAAAACGGCATTCAGACGGTGAACAGAACAAAAATTTCTCAGGGAAAACGTCTGATATGTTCGGGCGACGGGTCACAATCCTTTTCGCTTCTTTTGTTTTCGCCATTGGGGCTGTGGTTTGTGCGATCGCTCCCGAGAAATGGACACTTTTCTTTGGGAGAGTTTTGCTTGGAATAGCTGTTGGTGAGTTGATCATCTGTCTAGCGAAATTCTTGGTACTTTTTGCTGTTTATCCCCTGTACTTTGTACTTTTGCTGTTTAGCATCAGAGATTTTTTTGCTGTGTTTTCAAATACAAATTAGACATTCTTCCGCCAGCAACGTTTAAAAATTTCCCGACGATCGGTCGGTTTTCTAAAATTGTATTTATTAAGAATAAATGAACGGAACTAATAAAAGAAAGAATATTATGATGTCATAAAGGATTCTATGATGTTTAAAAGATAAAAGATAAAAGATAAAAGATAAAAGATAAAAGATAAAAGATAAAAGATAAAAGAAAAGATATTTAAAAGATAAAATGTGAATGCTATGGTATACATATGTTTAAAACGATGCAATAATTCCGGTCGCGACTTTCCATTTAAAACTCATTTAGTGTTAGTGTGCCGACTTACAAGACCAATGCTGCCTCTCGAGTCCCGGGTTCGAATCCCGTCACGGACAAACTTTCTCCCTTTTTTGAAAAACAGGCAAATACCATTTTTAAGGCATAACCCCTAGAGTCACGTATCAAGTATAGTATCAATTGCTGCGGATCCTGTATCAAGAATCCTGATGTGGCTAAGTCTCACTTTGAAAGCCACTAGATTTCAATCCCAATTAAGAATAGAAAGAATTGAATAGAAAAGGTAAAGGTTATCTAGTTTGAATAGAAAAAGTAAGCGATAAACGTGTAAACTCGGAAAATTTAATTCACATTTATCAGGTTTTGCTTCAATGATCATCCCAGTTTTCATCGGAGAAGGAGCGCCAAGTCACATGAGAGGAACCCTTGTCACGATTTATCAGGTTCTAAAGCTAAAATTAGATCCAATAGTTTTAAGCTCAAGTTTTAAGCTCAAGTTTTAAGCTCTAAAAGTTTTCAATTTAAGCTTTTAGTTTATGATTGCTGCTGGTTTCATTGTGGCTAATGGAGTGGCCGCGGGCTTCGCGCAAATCGATCCAGAACGAGTCGGATGGAGGTTGATGTTTGGTTTTGCTGCCATTCCAGCAATTATACAAGTGAAGCTTTTGATAATATTGTTTTATTAAGTATTCATTTTCTTTTCCTATAACGTTTTACCCTTTTCAGTTTGTTGGTTTCATCTTTTTACCCGATACTCCGAGGTATCTCTTCCGAAAGGAGCGCGAAGCTGAAGGAGAGGCAGTTCTAGAAAAAGTTGATTTTTATTGAAGCAATTGTAGCAATTGTAGCAAGCAATTGTAGCAAGCAATTGTAGCAATTGTAGCAAGCAATTGTAGCAAATGAAATTTCAAAATAAAACAATTGAAAACGGATTTAAAAGTTTTAGATTTACGGCGGAGACAAAGCTTGGATCGCCTACGAAATCGCGGAAATCAAAGGAGCAATCGAGGCCGAAGCGGAGGCACATAAAGAATTTGGTGAGTGTTTAAAATTAAACCACAATTGGCCCGGTGAACCCAACGGATTCTAAAAAATAGAATCGCTCAAGAGTCAAACCAATAAATGCCTAGTATCTAGTGTCAGTCATTCCATTTCTCTACCTGATACCAGATAAATCCGGTACGATTTTGGGACATTTTGGCACGATTGTGGGACGATTTTGGGACACGCCTCTTTTGGCAATCAAAATTTGATTTTTGAAATGCTTTTGTGGCAAAATTTCAGCTTTAAGAAGATCAAGATAGTTAATAATGATAATAAGCCACTGGCATTAATAATTGATAATAAGTTAATATTAGGTTGTCCAGTACTGAATGCGCGTTTTTACTATTTTGTAAATTTCTCAAGATATCGAACAGATATAGATGAGTGTTATATATCATTCGAAAGCTGAAGATCTCCTCTACATTTTGGAATAAAAAAGTTTTTGAATTCGTTCAACTTTTTTGGAAATTGACTGCACAAAGGGAGAGGTCGTTTTCGAAAAAAAAATTCCAGCTTAGCTATTCCTCAAGTTTTATGGTGTAAAATAACCGGCCAGAAAAGAAAAGAAAAGTAAAGATGCTCTGAAATTGTTATATTTAAAAAAAAGTTGTATTGATATATCTATTGGCCAAACATCAAACCGTTAGCTCAATTTGAGCGAAGCAAAACTTGATCCAAAGGCACGCTTCCATTTTTTGGCCACCTCTTCTTCTGTGCAGTCAATTTGCCCAAAAGCTCGACAAATTCAAAAGCTTTTTATATCAAAATGTAGAGGAGATCTTCAGCTTTCGAATAATACCCATATATATCTTTTTCTCGATTTCAGTATGTTGAGAAATTTACAAAATAGTAAAAAACGCGCATTCATAGCTGGACAACCCAATATTTGGAATGGATTCATGGTTTTGTGTTGAATAAAATTTAGTTCAAAGTCCCGCAGTTTTCAATTCATCAACCCAATAAGTTAATATAATTATGAGCTGTACAAAAGCGAATGCAAACCATATAGCTTTTTTTTGTTGAAACTGATTCTCTTTCTTTATTTACAAATATTGGGTTGTCCAGTTATGAATGCGCGTTTTTTACTATTCTGTAAATTTCTCAAGATACCGAAATCAAGAAAAAGATATATATGAGTATTATTCGAAAGCTGAAGATCTCCTCTACATTTTGATATAAAAAGCTTTTGAATTTGTCGAGCTTTTGGGCAAATTGACTGCACAGAAGAAGAGGTGGCCAAAAAATGGAAGGGTGCCTTTGGATCAAGTTTTGGCTCCGCTCAAATTGAGTTAACCGTTTGATGTTTGACCAATAGATATATCAATACAACTTTTTTTTAAATATAACAATTTCAGAGCATCTTTACTTTTCTTTTCTTTTCTTTACACTAAAAAACTTGAGGAATAGCTAAGCTGAAGTGGATTTTTTCGAAAACGACCTCTCCCTTTGTGCCTCATCAATTTGCCCAAAAGCTGAAAAAATTCCAAAGCTTTTTATATCAAAATGTAGAGGAGATCTTCAGCTTTCGAATGATATATAACACTCATACATCTGTTCGATATCTTGAGAAATTTACAAAATAGTAAAAACGCGCACTCATAACTGGACAACCCAATAAAAAGAAAGATAAAACGTAGAATTTTTACAATAAATCTTTACAATACAATACAATAAAGCTATTATTGAACTTCTTTTTTATATATTTCTTTTCTAATGAGCAAATTGCAGAAGGAACTCTCGTAGTGGCGCGTGTATTTCGGACTCCTCATGTGCGAAAGGCGCTTCTCATTGGCAGCTCTCTTCAAATGTTTCAACAACTCATCGGAATCAATACTTTATTGTATAAAAAGCTCATTTAAATAGTAAATGTTTGAATTTTTAGATATTATACGGGGAAAATCATTCAATCAGCCGGAGTTGAGGATAAAACGAGCACAATTCTGATCTCTTGTGCTATATCGGGTAATTTCCTATCCAAAATTCAATGGATTTTTGAATTCTTCTTATAAATACTAAGATTTATCCTTTTATTTACAAATTTGATTCGTTTTATTTACGAATTTGATTCCTTTTATTTACGACAATGATTCCTTTTATTCACGAATATGATTCCTTTTATCCTTGAAAAACAGACAATCCCTAGAGTCACGTATCAAGTATTGTATCAAATGTCTTTGCTGCAGATCCTGTATCAAGAGTCCTGATGTGCTAAGTCTCACTTTGAAAGCCGCTAGATTTCAATCCCAATTAAGAATCGAAAGAATTGAGTAGAATTCCTTTTATCCGAATATGATTCCTTTTATCTACGAATTTGATTCTTTCTATCTACAAATTTGATTCCTTTCATCTACGAATTTGATTCCTTTTCTCAATCTAATCTTTACGATAATGAACTTTAACTGATCTTTTAGCTGTACAAGCTGTGGCCACTTTCATCCCGATGAAGTTGATCGAGAAATTTGGTCGACGAATGATCACATTAATCTCGATGATTGGTGTTTTTATCTCACTTTGCCTCATGGGAATCTCGTTTTTGTTGATCAACAAGGTAAAAAGCGTCTTTTTTCAATAGTTTAAGTCTAGGTTTAAGTTTAAGTTTAAGTTCAAAGTTCAAGTTTAAGTTTAAGTTAAGTTTTCAAAGTTTTAAACTAGTCTTTTAACTTCTTTAGCTACTTCTAAAGCTAAACGTTTTAGGATTCGGTGAATTTGGATCAGAGCTACCTCCCAGGCCTACCGGAGAATCGAAGTTCTTATGAAAGTTTCGCGAAATGTCACAGTTTTTCGTGAGTACAATTTTAGCTTGTAACTTGTAGCTTATAGCTTGTAGCTTATAGCTTATAGCTTGTAGCTTGTAGCTTATAGCTTGTAGCTTGACCAACTTGACCAGCGGAAAAGGTTTACTATCGTTCGCCCTTTGCGGCAGTTCGGGAACACATTCGAAAGAGCAGAACAAAGTACACCCGCTAAAGCCAAGTCTCTTTTTGAAAATGAAGATCAAAATCGGATTCCACATAGGCGAAAACCCCTGAGGGCTAAGCACCGCCTCTTGTTTGTCGAATTGCCGAAACTTGGCATCGTGAAATCGCGCACCCAGAATTTAGCACGTCGCGTTTGCGCACAGACAGACAGACGGACGTCGCTTCTACTTTAAATATAGTAGATTTTTGGCTGAACATTGATTCTTAAACAATCAAACTTTGTTTAATAAACAATTGTAATTGTTTTTTAGGAATTGCGACTTCTGTGTGACGGCTCCTCACTGCGGATTTTGCCATGTGAAGGGAGAGAATAAAATCGGGCAATGCTTGCCGACGAATATGGAGAAAAGTGACTATAGCACACTTGGGTGAGTTAAAGAGACTAAAAAGGGAATGACACGAACTTGAAATTCGGAATCACTGCGAGTCTATGTCGATTAAAAAGAGTGATCAAAAAGAGATCAAAGAATGATCAAAAAGAATGATCAAAAAGTTCTCGCACAACTTTTGTCGAAAAACAGCTAGCAAATGTTTAACTTTTATTTCAAAAGCGTTACCGTAAATACTCTAATCGAAGCGCACACTCAAATAGAAGCACACCGAGGTGGAGGGGAAAACATAGAAGCGCACCGCAGAGGTGGAGGGGAAAACATAGAAGCACACCCTTTGACACTTGAGAAAGCTCAAGATATTCAGCCTCAAGATATTCAGTCTCAAGATATTCAGGCTTGTAGTCTGTTCCTTACGCAAAAATCCTCATTTCGTTTAAATTTTTGTTTTTCTTAGAAAACTTTCTAACGTTTTGCTACTTTATATGCCTTTTTGCTAACATAATTATCTATGCTAACAGAATTATCTATGCTAACAGAATTTATCTTCTACGCGCTCACTGCAATAACTACAGCGATCATTCAGTGGAATTGGCTTTCTTGGGCTTTCAAAACTTTCAAAAAAGAGCGCTCATTGCTTATCGTATATCTAAAAGCAGCTAGTAAAAATCTAACTTTCAAAAGTAATAAGTGTTATATAGAGATTTGAAGCCCTAATTCCTGGCTACATTTATCTACTAAAAGCTTCCAAATTGGATAGATATAACTCATTTAACAAGCTCTCGCGGCATCCCTCAGGCACGCTGCCATTTTTGCCGCGTTGAACTCGTTGGAGAGCTTGTTAAATGAGTTGTATGCATTCAATTTGGAAGCTTTTAGTAGATAAATGTAGCCAGGAATTAGGGCTTCAAATCCCTATATAACATTTACCACTTTTGGAATAAGTTAGACATATGTTAGCTGCTTTTAGAAAAAGTTGTGTGTAAACTTTTTGTTCACGTAGAATCGACCACGGAGATCACGAATTTTTGCCAAAAACTATGCAAATAGTTGGCTAAGACTCCTTTTTTGTTCCTGTTTACAAAAATAAAAGAGTGAAGCGCTGGCCGAGAGGAAAATCTGCTCGAATATCAAGTTTTTGGTCAGAGTTCGATTTCTCTTTACGCCAAACTTTTTTTGCTTTACTGTAATTTGACTGGGTCAATGTTATGAACAAATTCTTTCTCTAAAATCTTCATAAACAAGTTAAAGAACTTTTAACATTCAAGTTAAACAAGTTAAAGATATTTTAACTTTCAAATTTGCAATTTCATCTGAAAAGAAAGTTCTGATTTAAGTGAAAGTTTTTAAAGTGAAATTGAGAGCTATCTAAAATTCAGATTCTGTCAAAAAGACGCTTCGAATTCAAGCGATTACAAATTCACGCACTATTGTTCAACGAAATTCACAATTCTTCCCATTGTTGTCATGGTCATTTATTTAGTATGCTTTGCTTTTGGTGAGTTCAGAAGAAACTTTTAAAGCCTTTAAAAACCTTAAATCTTAATCTTTAAATCTTTTCAATTAACACCTTAGAAACATTCCCTTTGAGAATGAAAAAAAACAAATCTGGGAACTGGGAATTGAACCCTCGACCTTCTGCTCAGATACCACTGAGCTATCGGTGCCGCCCAAAAAGAAATAGAAAAGATAAGGAAGAAGAAAGAAAGAAAGCAGTAAGAAAGAAAGCAGAAAGAAAGGAAGATGAAAGAAAGAAAGATGGAAGAAAGAAAGAAAGATGGAAGAAAGAAAGCAGAAAGAAAGAAAGAAAGTTTCCAGAAAATTCTCCTTTTAGGAATGGGACCAATCCCATGGGTTTACAATGCTGAGATTTATCCATTGTGGGCAAGATCGACATGTGTCTCGATAACAACATTCACCAATTGGATCTTCAATCTTTTAATTGCTCTCACTTTTCTTTCACTTGGTGAAGCGATCACGAAATATGGTAACGATTACAGCTAGCAGGTTTCCTGGTTTACTAAAACCACAATCATTTGTCAGTTTCAAAAGAACTTTGCCGAAAAAAACTTTCTGTACAAAATTGACTCATAGGGGAGGCGGGGGGAGGCGCGTATAAAAGGTCTTTCTGGCACCGCCCCTTTTGCCAATCTAACTTTGAACTCAAAAATCTCGGTGTTCGTTTGTCCAATTTTAATACTTTTTGTACCAATCGACAGAGAAAGATTTGGCGTATCTAATGATACCAAGAAGGCTCAAATTGGAGAGCCCAACACCAAGAAATTTGAGTTCAAAGTTGAATTGCCGATGGGAAAAGGGGCGGGGGCAACGGCGAAAGAGTCGGGGTGCATAACAAATGCCTTTTATACGCGCCCCACCCCTTTCCCATTGGAAATACAACTTTAAACTCGAATTTCTCGGTGTTGGGCTGTCCAATTGAAATAGTTTTTGTATCGTACCGAAAGAGAAAGACGTGGGGCATCTAATGATACGAAGAATATTTAAATTCGACAACCCAACACCAAGAAATTTGAGCTCAACGTTCGATTGTCAAAGGCAAAAGAGCGAGGCGCCTATAAAAGGCATTTGATATGCGCCCGTCCCTTTTGCCATTGCCCAGCCCCATTTGCCATTGGCAAGCCAACTTTGAGCTCAAATTTCTTGGTGTTCGGTTGTCCAAATGAAATAATTTTTGTACCAATTGACAGAGAAAGACTTGGCGCATCAAATGATATCAAGAATATTTGAATTGAACAGCCCAACACCAAAAAATTAGAGCCTAAAGTTGGGTTGCCAGTGGCAAATGGGGCCGGCGCCACAATCTAAAAAGATCGACGTTGCATTGAAGTGATTGTGGGTCAAAAACCCTATCAAATGGACTAGGTTTCATTGAAAACTCATTTTGTTTTTGGGTACTAGACTGACTTTCTTACTAGGTTTTCTTATTAGGCTTTGGAAATTCTAGAAAAAAACCTCTACACCGCTCAACTTTCAGGATCTTTCTTTTTGTATGCGAGCTTCACAGCCGTTGGCTTTGTCATCTTTTACATATTTATGCCGGAAACGAAGGGTCTTCAAATGGAACAAATCGAGAATCTTTTCAAATCAACTGAAGAAAGACGGAAAACCCAAATTTCCGGATATCAAATGAAAGTTTTAGAAGAAAAGCTATGAAATTAAAGCTATGAAATTAGTAATTTTATATTAGCGTCTAGGAATTGTCCAGCTCTTCTTCTGTCTAGTCTTTTCACAATTTCTCTTCAAATTTTTCGCTTTTTTTGGTTGATTGAGCTTTTTCAGCTTTTTCAGCTTTTTCGGGAGTGGGAGAAATGTGACCTTTTTTTGCGCACCTTTTTTTTGCTGGAAAAGGCCTTAGGAAAGGTCCTAGAGCTTCAAAAACGTTCTCATACAAGGGAATCGTATGCGTAGATTCCGAATTTCGACAAATCAGACCTCGCTGACAGGTCAAATTTGGGCTAAAAAGCAAAAACTGCGGAAAAGCGTTAAGTTGCGTAGTTTTTGCCTTTTTGGCCCAAATTTGACGTGTCAGCGAGGTCTGATTTGTCAAAATTCTGAATCTACGCATACGATTCCCTTCTATGAAACCATTTTTGAAGCCCTACGACTTTTCCTAAGGCCTTTTCCAGCAAAAAAAAAGGTGCGCAAATGTCCAGGTGCGCAAAAAAAAGGTCGCATTTGTCCCACCCCCGCTTTTTCAGCTTTTTCAGCGTTTTCAGCTTTTTTTTGTTGGTCTTTCATTGTACTTATTGAATTCCCTTTGCTCATTTTATCATTATTCAAATTTTTATTGATAATAAGTTATGCTCACAAGAATTTTCTGGATCAAATATCACAGGAAAGGAATAAAAAAGTCTTTTTTCTGAAGAAAATCAAGAAAATCAAGAAATCAAGGAAATCAAAGATTCAGCGAACCCCCAAATGAAATAAGAAATGAAATATTGAATTAGAAAAGAAGAATAAGAAAAAGAATAAGAAGAAGAATAAAAAAGAATCAAAAAAGGAATTAGAAAAAAAGAATTAGAAAAAAAAGAATCAAAAAAAAAAGAATCAAAAAAAAAGAATAAAAAAATTGAAAAAAATATTAAATGAGAGAAGAAATTATTTCAATTTTAAGGCAAATTTTAAGAGCTAACATCTTTTTTCTTAAGTTAAACGCTCCAAAGCAATGGTGGCGTTTTCGATTTCTTCGACGAATGGATGCTTGGGATTGGTGGCGGTGACCTGAAAAATCCCACTTTTACACTTTTCAGAGAGGATTTGGCAAAACACACAAAGAAAACTCATCTTCTTTTGACATCTTCTATTGATCTATTGTAAATATTGCGTCAAAAAACGGTTTTTTTTCAGATTTCTGCGAGAGATTTGTTCGCTCAAATTGGAGAAAAAGCAAAACGAAACCACATTTAACCTCTACGAGCCCATTTTGGCTTACGGTAGCTTTCCCATGATTTAAAAATCCATTTTCACTACCGTAATTATAGCATAGAGGGCCGACAGTAGTCCGAAAATATTTTTTGTCTGTTTTTTGACCAAAGATTACCGTAAAAACTCTAATCGAAGCGGAGCATCGAGTCTAACTTTTACTCTCAAATAAACGCTCATATCTTGACACCAGTACGTTTGTTTCTATTTGCTTTGTTATCAAATGAAATTAGAGAGAATGGGTGATCTTTTGAGCTATAACACTTATTTTTAACATTAACCAGCGCTTAGAAAAAAGTGATTGAAAAGTGGCAAAAAAGCCGATTTTTCATCATTTTCCGAGGTAATATAGGTCTTGCTTCCTACGAAACGCAGCAATGCTATGGTGTAGTGGACAGTGTGACTGCGTGAGGCGTCTACAAAGCGTTTAGAGAGCCTGGTTCGAATCCGCTCACCGTCAAATCTATTTTGCTTTTTATTAAAACACTAAAAACCATTTTTAAGTATTTCAAAGTGTCTGGAAACTTTAAGAAGTCAATTCAAAGTCAGCTTTACAAGAAGGGGCAGCCAAGAAGAGAAGAAGATTCTTTTCACTCACCTGTACAAGTTGCTTCTTTCCCAAGTTGTTCGCTGGTTTCGCTGATTCGTTGGCCAAAATGGCTCGGATTCGGTTGACCATAGCCTCGGCTGAGTTTGGATCTCGGGATAGAACCTCCTGTTAAAAAAGAAAATACAATTGATCTCTAGATCTACACATCTACACAATCTGCTTCAATAAAACTCACATCAAGCACTTTCTCGGCATCTCCACCCTGTCCTTGAGCAATGAGAGCATTTGATTGACCAACCAAAAGATAGGGAGTTGCACCATATTTGTCGATCATTTCCTAGAGCTCTTTATTTAGTTTCCTGAATTTCCTGAGTTAAGGATTTCTTGAATTAAGAATCTCCTGAATTAAGAATTTCCTGAATTTCTAAACCTGGAAAATGTAGAAAGCGTCTTTGAGCTTCTCCTTTCCAATGGTGAGATTCACCCAAGCGGTGGCCAATTGTGTGATCGTCGCGTCTTCATCCATTTCCGACATTCGTTTCAACTCTTTCCTGAAATCAGAGTCTTTTAAAAAGCAGATAATTGTTTAGAATTGTGTCGTTATTCGTGTTCGTTTGTTATTCCTGTCGAAATTCAACAAACTAACATCGCCAAATCCGGTCGATCCATGGCCAAAAGCGCGTGAATCGAGGCGGCTCGTGCCTCCAAGTGCTCCACGTTGTGCAATAGTTTTAGGGTTTCCTCTGGCTTCTAAATCACTCATTCTCATACTTTAAATTACACAATGGTACGCATTCAGATCGTAGATTTACTGCATTTTTTACGAACACTCACACTTGCTGAGAGAAACAGAGATCCATAAACGATTCGCGCGTAATCATCCGAGCTTGATTGAGCTTCGCCTTCGACTTGTTCAATGAGCTTTTCTCTGCAAAAATCCTTGTTTTTTTTTTGTTTATTTGGAGAAACAAGTCATAGTAAATTAAAGAAATTAAAGAAATGAATGGGAAAGAAATTGGAAATGGGAATTGAACCCTCGACGTTTTTCTCACTGCGCGGATACCACTGAGCTATCGGTGCTTTCTTTCCCCAAGAAGAAATAGGAAAGATTATCATCACCACCAACTCTGTCATCATTATGTTCATTGTTTATGCAATCATTCTTCTTTCTCAGGTATGTAATAAGGAAGTGAAGAAATTGGCAAGAAAGGATAGATTTTTGGAGAGGGAACTGAAAACTCGAGATTTTCGGAAGTGGATTATTTCCTGGGCCATTGCTCTACCCACTGCGCTATCGGGTACCTTAACTTACCAAGAGAGAGAGATGGGAAGACAAGGAGGAAGAAGAAAGGCAGGAAGAAACAAACAAACAAAAGAAGGAATTAAGAAAGAACGAAGGAAAGAAGAAGGAAGAAAGAAAGAAGGCAGAAAGAAAGAGGGAGAACGAAAGAAAGATGGAAGGGAGTAAAAAAGGAAGGAAGTAGAAAGAAAGAAAGGAAGCATAAAGAAACGAAGATGGAAAGAAGAAAGAAGAAAGAAAGGAAGAAGGAAGGAAGAAAGGAGGAAGAAAGGATGCAGGAGGAAAGGATAAAGCAAAGGCAGAAAGAAAGGAAGAAGAAAGGAAGGAAGAAGGGTAGGAAGAAAGGATTAAAGAAGAAAGAAAGAAGAAAGAAAGGAAGAAGGAAAGGAAGGAAGCGGAAAGAAAGAAAGCGACTAATAGTCATAAGTTATGACTATTTTCGCCATTTAACTCATAGTTTTATCTTCTAGCAATTGTTTATTCTATTTTCTAAAGGCGCCGTGTTAAATGCAACTCTGCAATGCCAACTGGCTAGCAAAATAGCCATAAATTGCTACAAAATTGCTGAAACTCACGGATTCTTGGTCGTCTCAAATTCGGCCAATCTCCGCACAGCTTTCAAAGCTTCTGACTTTGTCGATGCTGGGACTTCAGCCAGAACCACCGACGATTTTCCTTGTGCAATGTACGCTCGATTAATATAGACATCTTTCGATTGTTTCTCGTCTTCTGTCTTTGCAGCGAGCTTCTGAAAAAGGAATGAAAAGGAATGAATGAAATGAAAAAGGAAATCTTGCAATTATCCCTTTAATAAAGTGAAGTAAGGGTTTTAATAAAGTAAAGTAAGGCTCAGTGGTAGATTTTCGGAGAGGAGATTGATCTTGGCCTTGACCTGAAGCTTTGCAGACGGATGCTCTAACCACCGCTCTAACCACAGCTCTAACCACAGCTCTAACCACAGCTCTAACCACTGAGCTATCCAGGATCTCCTTAGGAGTTTAATCGCTTTGATTTGTGTTCTTTTGAACACCCCTGAGAATACGATTCGTCTGATTAGTCTTTTTGGGATCATGAAAGGGTTCAGCACAAGTCCCTATTAATAGGTTGATGCATAAGTCTTTTCGTTTTTTTCGTACTTCTGTTAAAAAGTAACAAATTCACCAATTAATCTATAGTTTGCTCTATAAAAAAAAGGTGTTTTTTTGTTGAATTTGCATCTTTTTAAATGAATTTCGGTTCACTTTCAAGCAAATTCGAGAGTGAAAAACGCCTTTTTCGTAAGAATCTATAAAAAACTCTACGGAAAAATTGGCTGAATGAATTTCTCTGAAATTTTGGCGAAATATCAAACGTTTTTTTCTCTATCTTTTATCTATTGACACGAAGATAGATTTTCTTTAGCTAAGGTGTCTAAACCGCATCATCGAGTTAGCCCTTTTTGACTACCCGACTTCATACTCTCAAGAAAATCCAGGCATTAAATATTTTTAAACCCGTTTTAATGTTATTTTGCAGAAAAATAATTGCTTTTTCTAATGAAATCGACCGTAGTTTAATTCGTGCATTTGTTGGCTTGAAACGGCAGACGAAAAGGAACAAAAACACTTATGCATCAACCTAATACTTCATTGCCCGGATGCTTGCTCAAGTGCTGTATTTCAGGTAGAAAGGTAAGCTCTAACCACTGAGCTAAAAGGAGTTTAAGCTTAAAAATTGGCGACAATAGAGGTTAGCAACAAAAAAGATGACTTTAATTTCGAAAATCTTACAAAATCTTTTAAATATTTTTATTTAAATGAATTCTATTATTAATCTAATAGCTAATAATCAAAAATTCTTGTAAAAACTCAAAGAAAATCGAATTTTAAACAACAAACCTGTGCCTCACTGATGCATCCCTGAAAATTCCCAATGTAAAAATTGTTTCGAATGTCGAACAATTTATCCACTGACATTTCGAATTTATCTAAATAAAAATACTTTTTATAAAAGCGTTAGCTATGATAAGAATAAGAAAATCAACCCTTAACTGAATATTTTTAACTCCAAAAACCCACGACACGTCAAGAAGGGAAGCGAGAGTCGAAAAGACTTGGCTACCTCTTTTCGAGTTGTGTGCCAATTCGTTCGTGTCGAGACACAAAACGAACTTTACTTTCCCAAACGAAACGCTACAAATGACGCTCATAATCCTTCGGTGTAAAGCTTTTCAAAAGATTACCTTGGCTAATTGTTTTTGATACTTTTAGGCAAAGGATTGTATGGGTATGCTGGCTTTAAATAACATAGAAAACTGGGTAAGCTGGCTTTAAATGAGCATTTAAGATGACCAAATGAAATCAAAATGTATTACAATAGTCTTTCATTGTTAAATCGATTGAGCACTATATTATTTACTTGTTAAACCAATCTTATTAACCTTATTAACCACTATATTACTTGTTAGTAAGTATAGTAGTAATAAATATAGTAGTACTTGTTCAGTACTACTATATTTATTCTAATAGAAGCAATTTTGGGGATGATGGTTGAAAAATAGAAGAAGCAATAGAAGAAGAAGAAGAACTGCTAATCGATCTAGAGCTTCTAATCGATCTAGAGCTTCTAATCGATCTAGAGCTTCTAATCGATCTAGAGCTTCTAATCGATCTAGAACTTCTAATTGATCTAGAGCTTCTAATTGATCTAGAGCTTCTAATTGATCTAGAGCTTCTAATTGATCTAGAGCTTCTAGTTGATCTAGAACTTCTAATTGATCTAGAGCTTCTAATCGATCTAGAACTTCTAATTGATCTAGAGCTTCTAGTTGATCTAGAACTTCTAATTGATCTAGAACTTCTAATCGATCTAGAACTTCTAGTTGATCTAGAGCTTCTAGTTGATCTAGAACTTCTAATTGATCTAGAGCTTCTAGTTGATCTAGAACTTCTAATTGATCTAGAGCTTCTAATCGATCTAGAGCTTCTAATCAATCTAGAACTGCTAATCGATCTAGAGCTTCTAGTCGATCTAGAACTTCTAGTCGATCTAGAGCTTCTAATCGATCTAGAACTTCTAATCGAACTAGAGCTTCTGTAGAATTCTTTGGAAAAAGAATTCTCAGGCTAATAACTCAGTGGTAGAGCATCAATCTGGTAAGCAGACGGTTCAATTTCTTTGATTTCAAATTCTTTCCCATTCACTCCCAGCAAATAGTAACTAAAATGAGAATGCGATCTGACTAAAGCCACTTTTTCCTTAAAATTCTACTATATAATGGTCAATATTAGATTAGGCACTTGTAAAAATATCGAGAAAAGCAGCGTTATACATAATTCCGAACAAGATATACTATAGAGACTGGAGTTTAACACTGGTTTTCTCAATATTTTTGCAAGTAAGCGTTTAATCTAATCTTGGCCACTATATAGTAGAATTTAATGGGGAATTTTTTCTTTTCCAAAGAATTCTTTCTTGTTTAGTTCTTTCTTAGATTGTTATTATCATTATTGCTTAATCAGTAGCTTCTCTTGCTTCCTCTTGACTTCACTACGATGCATTCTCCTGCATTCACTACGAGAGAACCCAATTTTCCCGTTCAACTGATTTTAAAGCCTTCAAATTGTTAAAATCTTATTGTTTCTTTATGAGATTGTAATTGTATATTGTTATTTTTTAGATTAATTGTCAGATTAACCATGGAAGAGCTGTCAAGCATTTCCCAAAGTCCACGAAATCCATCTTCTTCAAGAACAAACCCTTCCAAATCTTCCACACCTTCAATTTGGGAAATCTCTAATAAATCCTCATCAAGCAATTCATCGAGTTTCAGTGATTTGAAAAGAAGAAATGAATTGCTTAGAATACAGGTTTTTTTTGAAAAGTTTTCTTATAATCAAAAATGTTTTTAGCTAAAACAACGAGAAGCCGAATTGGCTAAGGAGAAGATGAAAAGAGATGAAAAAATTGGAGAAAAACTACAAGCACAAAGTGAAGCTGAACAAATGAAGGTGAGAAATTATTCAGTTTAAGCAAAAGAGTTAATATTAGGTTGGTGAATTGAAAACTGTGGGACTTTGAACTAAAATTTATTGAACATAAAACCATGAATTGATTCCAAATAATTTCCATTATTATTAACGACTTCTGCCCATTTTACAGGCAATTTGATTCCTCTTTCGTAGTAGGATTGGTTTGGTTTGATTTTGGTTTATGTGTGAGACAAGTGTGAGACTCAAAAATGGAAGACTGGAGATGGAGGCTGGAGATGTCCCAGTTTGAGCACTTTCTTCAAAAGAAACCCATTTTGGTGTCAATAGAAAAGTTGTAGAGAATCAAAAATTAGGCTTATAGCCAAATTTCCCAAAATATACACTTAGTAGTTTCGCTTAAAATGCAAGTTTTGTGAAAATTCGCATTGGCATTCGAAAATTTGGCATTTCTTGAAAACCAGCTTTTGAATCGTTCTGAAAATTTGGATCTAACCTTGATTTTTGATTCTCTACAACTTTTCCATTGACACCAAAATGGGTTTCTTTTGAAGAAAGTGCTCAAACTGTCACATATGACAATAGCCCGCAATTTTCAATTCACCAACCCAATAGTTTTTAAATTTAAAAGCCAAGGGGAAGGGGTTTTTAAATTCAAAAGCAAATTCAAAAGCAGATTGAAAAGCAAGTTTAAAATCCCCTTCAAGTTAAAGCTGCTTTAAGCTTTAAGCTGATCAGCTTTATGCAAAAATTCAGGCAAAAATCGCAGCTCTTACTTTAATCTCCGATGATCTTCAACAAATCATTGCGAGTTGTGAAGAAGAACAAGAAAGAAGATTGAGAGAATTGGCGACAATGTACAGAGGACACTTCGAGGAAATCACTGAAATGACGACGAGGCTGAGGAATGAGAATGGAGAGCTGAAGAAACGATTGACCGAACATCAGGCAAAGGTTGGTTAGGCTTCGGTTGGTTAAGGCTAAGAAAATTTCGTTTTCTTTTCCTTTTCTGAACTTTTCTAAACGTTTAGAATTTCTCTCATAGCCAAGAGAACAAATTTTTGCGTTGGGAAAACGATACTACGAAATTGGAATTGGAAAAGCTGAAGAATGAACTCGAGAATAAAGACAAGGAAATCTCGGAGCTTAGAATGGAGATCATTACTCAGAAATTGGCACAACAAAAGCTCGCGCAGACGACGAATGCAAAGTAGGGTTTTGATTTTGAATCAATAGGATATTGTTGAATTCAATACTGATCATCGATTTGATATTTTATCTAATGATCAGGTATCGAGAATGCTAAAAAAGAGGACTTTCATATAGTTTGTTTCTATTAGTGAATAGGTTTTCTATTAATGAATGAGGTTCTGTTGGAAAAATTACGGTTTTTAGATTGGAGCGAGTGATACAGACAACGGCACAGAGCACATCCACTCAATTGAACTCAATCAAGATGCAGTTTGAGGACAGAGAAAAAGAGTATGGACTGACGCTGACAAAGATTCGGAATGAGATGGAGTTTCTACAGAAAGAGGTGTGGTTCTTGAGTTCCTCACACTGTTAAGGCGTATATAAGCCGGCGTTCGTATATAAGATGCTGTTCGTATCTAAGCCGGCACTAGTATATAAGCCAAAGCGCGTATCTAAGCTGGCACTAGTATATAAGCCAAAGCGCGTATATAAGCCGGCGCTCGTATATAAGCCGACGCTCGTATATAACCCGGCGCTCGTATATAAGCCGGCACTAGTATATAAGCCAGCTCTCGTAGATAAGGCAGTGCTCATATATAAGCCGGCACTCGGATATAAGCCGTATATAAGACCATTTTCAGCTCGAAAGACGAGAGAATCAAGTGAATCGTCTCACTCATCGACTCGACGAATTAACCATTGATAACAAAAAGATGTTGGATATTAATACGGTTCAGTTGATTGGAATTGAATTTAGTTTCAACATTTCAGGAACTTCGACACGATACCGATGATGAGTTGGCTGTGTTGAAATCAGAGATCTCGAGATATCGCAATGAACTCGACGTGTTGAGAGATCAAAATGAGAATCTAAAGTTTTCTTTTAAAGAGAACACACAACAAGGTGAGGCAAAAAAAGCCAAAAAAGCCAAGCTCTAAAGCCAGTTTTTTACCTGACTTTCTCTCATTAGCTCAAAAAGATCCAAGATATTCATCAAAAAGATTTGAATCGGATTTGTTTAGATCAATTTGAACCTTTTAGACCTTTTACTAGAGTAGTTTCTTAATCAATGCACAACTTAGTAAAGTTTTAAAGTGTTTAAAACTCAAAGACTTTTGGGAAAGATAAAATTGAATGCAAAATTGGGTAGCTTGACGTTCAAGTCGTCGTAATACGTCGTAATAGTCGTAATACATCGAAAAAGTTGAGTCAATTTTAACCTTTAACCGTTTTCGGATTTGTTTAGATCAATTTTAGACCCTTTAACAATATTCTGAAGTTTTCCCGGTACACAAGAAGAAGCTTGTGCTTGTTTTAAGCAAAAAGCACTGGCTATTGATAAAATTTCATCGTTTAGCCTTGAATTTCATCGTCTAGCTTTGAATTTTATCGTTTAGCCTTGAATTTTATCGTTTAATTGACCAAAAAACGTTTAGCTTCATCAACAAAAGAAAGACACGAAATGGTCACTCATCAACAACGATTGGAACAAGCACAAACTCTTATTAGGGCCCTGAGAGCACAAGTAAGAGATTTTGTTGAATTTAAAGGCAAATACTTATTTCTAAGAAGCTTTTTACGTCCTTTTTACATGCTTTTTACATGCTTTTTAGTTTTTTTAGTTTTTTTCCATTGTTTACATGGTTTTAGATTTACGACCTTCGAAAAGTGACACCGCAAAATTTGAGCGACAAGTCAGCACTTCGAGAATTGCAACGCTCAAGACTTGAACTTGCAGAAATTCGGGAAAAACATCGACAAGTGGAAAAAGATTGCGATGAAGAAAGGCAACAAAGGATGGATTTGACGGAGATTTTGCTGGAAATGAGCAAAGATCTACAAGAGATTATACAATGGAGTAAGATTTTGGAGGCATGAGTTTAAGCTGGACTGTTGACTGTGAGATCTTAGGATACTAGTATAAGAAAGTATAAGAAAAATAAAGAATCAAGTGCACTAGAAAAGGTGCCGATTTTATTAGATTTTAAATATTAAAAACTAACTTCTCATTATTTAAATGGTTCAATTATCAATTTGTTTCGATTACCCAACGTTTTTCTTTTAAAATGTGCTTTTTCCCTTGTTTTACCGCTTTTTACCGCTTGTTTTATCGCTTTTTTGCCGCTTTTTTGCCGTTAGCCATGTCTATTCTCCAGTTTTCATTTTGATGTTTTTTTTCTTTGAATCGAGTCACTTTAAATCATTTTTATCCATCGATAAACGTTTTTTTTCGTAAAGCAATTTACAAAGGAAAAGGCGATTTCGTCTCAAAAATCAATGCTAGATCATCTCAAAGAATACCCATATATGTTGAGAGAAAAATGACAAAAGAATACAAAATTTAAAGAGCCACTACACCGTATCGACTACAAGATGCTCCATTTTGATTGTTCGATTCGGTTGAATCCGTCTCGTCGACGATTGTTTCCGCCGTTTTTGAGGATTTCATTTTGAGACTGAAATTGGGGTTTTGTTCTTGGATTTTGTCGAATAAATTTGCTTTGCTATGCTTTGCTATGCTTTGCTATGCTTTGCTATGCTTTGCTATGCTTTGCTATGCTTTGCTATGCTTTGCTATGCTTTGCTATGCTTTGCTATGCTTTGCTATGCTTTGCTATGCTTTGCTATGCTTTGCTATGCTTTGCTATGCTTTGCTATGCTTTGCTATGCTTTGCTATGCTTTGCTATGCTTTGCTATGCTTTGCTATGCTTTGCTATGCTTTGCTATGCTTTGCTATGCTTTGCTATGCTTTGCTATACATATTGGAAACTTGATTTTGTAGAAATTTCGGTACTTATCGGGTTATACTCATCGCCTACTTAAGCACTTAGCTAAACAAACGTTATAACGATGCCTTTCTCCGTTTAGCTTAACCTTTATCTACTATAATTTGATCTAAAAGTATAATTTAAACATAGTCTAAATAAATACTCATAAATAAATACACTAAACAGATATTTTTATGATGAAAAAACAAATACGGTACACATCCGCGCAAAAAACGGCAAAAATAAGGCAAAAAAGAACGTTCTCTATCAGAATTTCACGTTTGAAAGTCACTTTCAACTTAAAAAGGCATCAAGTCTTCGCAGAGTTGATCAATTTTTATTTTTTTTTGGTATCAAAATGATCTTTGCACACGTCCACACAAAAGTTATCGGTTTTGAGGGCGCAATCTTTCGACCACGCTGAGAACGAGCCACCGAAAGTTGGTCGCGGCGAGCGAGTTGATTGTAAAAGTTGATTGTTGATTGTTTTTCGATAAAACGCGTTTTGAAAAAATCGAGTCAGACGGATTTCGATAATTTCTTCACCATTCGATTCAACACAATTTTCTGCGTCGAATGGATATTCAAACGTGAAATTCTGATAGAGAACACCATTTTCGCGCGGATTTGCGGTACCCAAGCCCCAAGTTTCGATTTAAATCCATGGGTATGATGTGCTTTAGCACTGTAGCATGATCAACCCTTAACTCTTCTCCCAATTCACGCGATGATACCCGATGGTCGTTGGTAATGAGTTCGAGTAATTTGGAATCATCCAGTTGGGGTGCCGCTCCACGGCCCTCTGCATCTTTCAAAGATTTTTCGAATGGATATTCAAACGTGAAATTCTGATAGAGAACACCATTTCGCGCGGATTTGCGGTATTTCCTATTTAGTTGCTTGATAGCTCCTTGATAGTTCCTTTAAAGTTCTTTTATAGCTCCTTTATAGTTCCTTTATAGTTCCTTTATAGTTCCTATTTAGTTCCTTTATAGTTCCTATTATAGTTCCTTTATAGTTCCTATTTAGTTCCTTTATAGTTCCTATTTAGTTCCTTTATAGTTCCTTTATAGTTCCTTTATAGTTCCTTTATAGTTCCTACTCAGTTCCTTTATAGTTCCTATTCAGTTCCTTTATAGTTCCTTTATAGTTCCTATTTAGTTCCTTTGAAGTTCCTCTATAGTTCCTTTATAGTTTCTTTATAGTTCCTTTATAGTTCCTTTATAGTTCCTTTATAGTTTACATGCCATGCCTGGAATGATGACAACGAATGGAATGAATCAAGAAATGATACAACCAATTTATGGGAATATCACTGTGCAGAGAGGTTTAATTTGAGTGATATTTTGATTTATATGAGATTTAGTACCCTGGCATGCAAGAGATCTATCGAAGGATTCACTGATTGATGACAGAAGTGATCCGGTATTTGATCTTAGTATTAGACATAGTCTTAGTCAAGTAGTCAGTAGTCAGTCATAGTCATAACTTTGCTCTCTCGGTGTCGGGAGGCACTTTTATGTAGTGGTAACGCTACAGCTTATGCCCTATCAGATGGCCTTGCTCGTTGGGTGAATCCTAGCGAGTTGCCCCATAAGTACCAAAATTTCTTGAGGTAAACTTTGCTAAACGAACTCTTTCAAGTCGCCGAGTGCAATCTCTTGATCTTCCTCGTCATCCGATATGTCAGCTTCTTCCCATCTGAAAGAAAACATTCGCTTTTTTCGATCTTTTTCATTTCTTTTACCGGCTATATCTTTTTGTCGGCACACTGACGTAAAAACCAAAATTATTTCCGCAACAGATCAGAAAAATTGTGAAAAGAATCATTGCTGAGAGAAGGCATAAGAGACCGATCTCGAGAATCGACCAGGCGGACGTCGTTTGATTGCCATCGACTGAAAAGAAGGATATGATTCTTTCATTTCTTCAAAATATAACCTTAAACCTTTAAATAATAGCTTAAAGCTTTAAATAGTAGCTTAAAGGTTTAAAATATAGCCTTAAAGCCTTAGCATACACTCGCAAATATCCATCAAATCATAACTAGGCACATATCGCGAGTTCTATCGAGAACTTTTGGAAAAGCAGCTAGGAAATGGCTAATTTATTTTAAAAGTGGCAAGTGTTATATAGAGGATTGTAGCCCTTAATCTTGGCTACATTTATGCACCAAAAACTTTTTAATTGGATTTATAGAACTGATTTAACAAGCTCTCGCGGCATCCCTCAGGCACGCTGCCATTTTTGCCGCGTTGAGCTCATTGGAGAGCTTGTTAAATGAGTTGTATGCATTCAATTTGGAAGCTTTTAGTAGATAAATGTAGCCAGGAATTAGGGCTTCAAATCTCTATATAACACTTTTCGATCGGACTTATAGAGCTGATTTAGCAAGCGCTTGAATGAGCTCTAGTCGAAATCTCTCTGGCAAGTCATTTGGCGGTGGCTCTCTATTAAAAATTGTTAAGAAAAGCTTTTCAATAGTTTCTTTAATAGAAAAATAGTGTTTAACATTAATTAATAACATAAATAATCACAATTAACTTTTTAGTTGAACTGGTATAACCAAAATTTAAGTTGAAGAAGAAAGAAAAAGTGAAAATTGAGTATTTTCGATATTCAATCTGCGTATATCAGCTTTTCTGATGCTATAAATTCGTTGAAAACATTTTTAAACCAAATTACCACAAATTTGACTGAAAAATCTTTCTGAATGTAATTTTTTCATGTAAAAAAGTAGCCAAATGACTTGCCGGAGAGATTTCGTTTAGCGCTCATTCAAGCGCTTGTTAAATCAGTTCTATAAGTCGAATCGAATAGTTTTTGGTAGATAAATATAGCCAAGATTAAGGGCTTCAATTCTCTATATAACACTTGCCACTTTTAAAATAAATTAGCCATTTCCTAGCTACTTTTCCAAAAGTTGCCGCTAGAATTTGCGGTCCTCGGTAGAAGTTTCAATTTCAAACTCGAGACTTGGCTTTTTCAATTGCTCAAAGTACTGAATTCTTGCCGTTATAAGTACTTAGAACTTCTGAAAATTGAAAGATTGACATTGAAACATTGAAAGACACTGTTATTCTTTTTGCTAACCGTTGCTAACTTTTATTCAAACCAACATTGACAAAATGGTCCATGAAACGGTGACACACAGGTGCATCGAAATCCATTGCCACTGTCCAGACACGATCCTCCATTGATGCAAGAAGTGGTGACACAAGTGGACAGGAACTCTAGAGAGCTCACAAAGTACATATTTGATGGAAGAGCCCACATCCGATCATCCCAAAGCCACTGGGGAGGTGCGGTGGGGTTTTCTCAGGGTTCAGATTCGATTATATATAGCTTGCTCTTTAGGAATTGTTTAAATTGATTGAGAAATTGTTTAAAGCAGAGATTCAAGTACTTGAAAACGTGAGAAATCGGTTGTAGCAGTTGTTTTGGAACGGTTTGGAGCGGTTTGGAACGGTTTAACTGCTCCAAAGTCTTCGAAATGGAATTGGAATTGGCGAATTGGCTTGTAAGGATTGTTGCTTTTCGAACAAAGCCTCAAAATATCTTTGAATGAATGATTTGTTGAAAAGCTTATAGAAGAGCTTAGAGAAGAGCTTATAGAAAGAGCTTATAGAAGAGCTTTAAGAAGGAGCTTTAAGAGCTGACTTCAAAGAAAACAGGCTATCAACAATGAGGTGAAAGAGAGAGAGAGGGAAAGCCGAATTTCGATCACAAACCCAGCTCTTCTAAAGGGCAAAGGATAGGACGAATCCCTGGGGAACCCAACCCCGAGACCCATTCAACTATGAAAGAAAGAAGAAAAGGAAAGAAAAAAACAACGAGCCCTTTCTTTTTTCTTTTTTCCGTCTATCGTCATTTTCCGCTTCATATCCGACATCTTTTTTGGGGGTAAAAATGGGCGATTTTTTTTGAATACTCGATTTGATTTTATGGAATTGTTTCGGGACTGAGATTTGAAAGGTCAAAAAAGAGAAAAAGTTCGACTAAAATGCTCAAACTTGCAGACAAAGATAACTTTTTAAGCAGATTAGAAAGTAGATTAGCAATAGCAATCGCAATAGCGGTAGCAATAGCAATAGCGATAGCAATAGCAATAGCAATAGCGATAGCAATAGCAATAGCAATAGTAGATAAGCATCAGATGAACTTGATTCATCAAAAAGACTATTTTATAATATACAAAATAGTCGTTTTGTAAAGCCAACTACGGCAAAATTGCATTGCTTCTGCTACAGAGTTGAGCAAATTTACTTGAACAAGAGTTCTTTTGTATTGGGTTGGTGAATTGAAAGCTGCCGGCTATTGTCATATGTGAGAGTTTGAGCACTTTCTTCAAAAGAAACCCATTTTGGTGTCAATGGAAAAGTTGTAGAGAATCAAAAGTCAAGCTTATATCCAAATTTTTAGAACGATTCAAAAACTGGTTTTCAAGAAATGCGAAATTTACGCCAAAATTACGAATTTTCACAAAACTTGCAACAAAACTTGATTTTAAGCGAAACTACTAAGTGTATCTTTTTGGAAATTTGGCTATAAGCCTAATTTTTGATTCTCTACAACTTTACTATTGACACGAAAATGGGTTTCTTTTGAAGAAAGTGCTCAAACTGGGATCTCCAGTCCTCCTCTCCAGCCCTCCATTTTTGAGTCTCACACTTGTCTCACACACAAACCAAAATCCTACTACGAAAGAGGAATCCGCAAATTGCCTGTAAAATGGGCAAAAGTCGTCAATAATAATGGAAATTATTTGGAATGAATTCATGGTTTTGTGTTGAATAAATTATAGTTCAAAGTCCCGCAGTTTTCAATTCACCAACCCCTTAGCTATCAAAAATTCACCATTCAACAAAAAAAGTTGTACAATGGCTCATTTTGTTGCAAATTTTACGTAGATTCTTAAAGTGAAACAACATCTGACATTTCTCTTTTGTAACAGGGAGAAATGGGTCGCCAACTGGTTTTCGGGGGAATCCCCTAACTTGCAACGAAAGACTGAAGTTAGTCGGCGCTATTTTTCTCCCACTTTCAACCATGGACTGTTCGATGTGGCTTCACTTAAAGAAGCTACATAAAATTCACTTAAAACAAGCATTTACAACTTTTTGGTTTAGTGGCGAGTTTTTTATAGCCATTTTAAGAAATTTTTGAACCCTAACTTTGGATTTCCATAAAAATTTTTGTACTAAACCAAATGAGCTGAAATTTGTTTTACGATTCGATTGCTAGACGTAGAATATATATATATTAGCGGATGATCTATAGCTGTACAATGTGATTAATGAAATCTGATTCAGAAAAGTATTCGTAATGGTAACTTGTTCCTGGTAATTTACCGTAAATCTAAATCTAACTTTACTCTCAAATAACGATATCTTGACATCAGTACGTTTGTTTCTATTCGCTTTGTTATTAATGAAGGAGAGAATGGGTAATCTTTTGAGCTATAACACTTATTTTTAGCATTAACCAGCGCTTAGAAAAAAGCTATTTTTCTCCCACTTTCAACCACGAACTGTTCGATGTGGCTTCACTTAAAGAATCTACATAAAATTCAGTTTAAAACAATTCATGGTTTTATGTTCAACAAATTATAGTTCAAAGTCCCGCACTCCCGCCAACCCAATAATTTCTCCTCTCATTTAAAGAAAGAAAGACAAGGGGAAGAGCCAAATCCTAGCTTATAATCAATTTCCCTGTAATTTCTCAACCTTACAATTAAAAACGAACTCAATGGTAGGAAGGGCATCCAATCATTTATCGGATCCAGTTTTGAAATTTATCAGAAACAATATTTCTTAGTGAATTTTTACATTTTCCTTTCAAAGAGTCTAGCTTTTTGTTTAAATTAAATAAACGAAAATTTAATTTCGCAAAAATCACGCAAATTCCCCACCCTCTTTCCACGGAAAAAGATGCTTCCAAGTGCTCATCCGATTTAGGGAAAAACGAAAATTTTTGAGCGTTTAACAATAGCAGAGCCTAATTGAGTAGACGTTTAGAACGGAGACAAAGAAATTTTTGAAGAAGTGAGTAACGAAAAAGGAGAATGAGAATGGTACTTGTGAATTTTGGGGGAAAGGGTTTACTGGAAAGAGAACTCTTCAACGATTTTGTCCTGAGGATCTTCAGATGTTGAAGAGAGGAAATGGGATTTTGTTACTTTGTTGTTTAAAAGAGTTCAACGAAAGTCGGTGAGTAAGTGGCTGGGAAATGGGTTTGTGCATTGGAGATCGATTGGAAAAGTGTAAAATGATTAAGGTAGGGTCTGTCTGTTTTTCTGTCTGTTTGTCTCTTTGTCTGTCTATTTGTCTGTCTGTCTATCGTTCGTCACTGTTTGGCTGTCATCTGTCGCTGCTGTCTGTATGTTTGATGTCTGTCTGTCTGTCAGCTGTCTTCTGTCTGTCTATCTGTCTGTCTACTGTCACTTCTGTCTGTCCACTGTCTGTCGTCCATCTTCTGTCTGTCCACTGCCGCCATCTGTCTATCTGTTTGTTTGTCTGTCTGCCTGTCTGTCTGCCTGCCTGTTTGTCTGTCTGTCTGTCCATCTGTCTGTCTGTCTGTCTGCCTGCCTGTTTGTCTGTCTGTCTGTCCATCTGTCTGTCTGTCTGTCTGTCTGTCCCTCTCTCTTTGCCCGCTACTCCTTCTCACCTAGTGGGCCGTTTCAAATAACTTGTAGTTAGTTTGACTTAGAATTTCATCTAGTTATGCAACCTGCTTTAAAATTTTTAAAAAGCTAAAAATGTCGACGCGGGCGGGAGTCGAATCCGGTTCGTGTGGGCTAGAGACAAGTGCGCTCGCACTGCGCCAGAGCACGGCCGACTGGTTCACGCGTGTGTCTCTCAAACGAACAGAAGAGAGGTCGCGGGTTCGACTCCCCCCACCGCCAATTCTTTTGCATTTGCTGCAGAGCAGCAGCGAAGCATCTGATATTTAATAATGATTAATTTACTTGATACTTTAGAATAATTTAGCATGGTGAGATCTAATTTTTGAGTAGCTCTTCAAGAAATGTTTTTTGTGTTTGGTGCTTACTGTTTGATCGAAAACACCTCAAAATTACAGATAATTGTCTGGCTTGCAATTGCTTGATGTTGAAATGGCTTTGATTCATAAGTTGATAAGCTATTTGATTGTTTTTGATGAGCTATTGTAGCTATGGTTGTATCATGAGCTATTGTAGCTATGATTGTACATTTTAATAAGCTAAAAAGGTTACTTTCCGGGCACTTGAGGCCGGATTTGGGCTTTTGTGAAAACGAAAAGTGATACCTTGTAGAAAATCAGTAGGGCAATGAATATCGACTCCTTTGATTCGACACGGCATTCCCGGCTGACAACCGTTCTCCAGGCACTGATCGATTAACTGAATATCTTGAAATTAAAGAATAAGATAAATGGATGAAAATGGCTATAATCTGAGCAATTTATTTTGTTAAACTCAAAAAAACTAATGAAAATCCTTTGAGTTAATCTCTGTAATCCCCCAAGAAGGAAAGAATCAATTGAGAAGGGAATAGATTGAGAAGATTGTTAAATGTTTCAAATAATGAAGGTTAATCGGTTGGAAAAGTTTTTAAACAGAATCAAACTGAAGCAATGATTGAAAAAAATGGTTGAAATAGAAATAGAAATAGAAAGAAACATAGAAATGATTGAAAAACTATTGGGTTGGTGAATTGAAAACTGCGGGACTTTGAACTAAAATTGATTCAACATAAAACCATAAATTGATTCCAAATAATTTCCATTATTATTGATGACTTCTGCCCATTTTACAGCCAATTTGATTCCTCTTTCGTAGCAGGATTGGTTTGGTTTGATTTTGGTTTGTGTGTGAGACAAGTGTGAGGTTCAAAAATGGAGGACTGGAGTTGGAGACTGGAGAAGTCCCAGTTTGAGCACTTTCTTCAAAAGAAACCCACTTTGGTATCAATAGAAAAGTTGTAGAGAATCAAAAATTAGGCTTATAACCAAATTTCCAAAAAGATACACGTAGTAGTTTGGCTTAAAATGAAAGTTTTGTGAAAATTCGTAATTTTGGCGTAAATTTGGCATTTCTTGAAAACCAGTTTTTGAATCGTTCTGAAAATTTGGGTATAAGCTTGATTTTTGATTCTCTACAACTTTTCCATTGACACCAAAATGGGTTTCTTTTGAAGAAAGTGCTCAAACTGTCACATATGACAATAGCCCGCAATTTTCAATTCACCAACCCAATATTTTGTTAAACTCAAAAAAACTAATGAAAATCCTTTGAGTTAATCTCTGTAATCCCCCAAAAAAAGGAAAGAATCAATTGAGAAGAGAATAGATTGTTAATTGTTTCAAATAATGAGGTTAATCGGTTGGAAAAAGTTTTTAAAAAGAATCAAACTGAAGCAGTGATTGAAAGAAATGGTTGAAATAGAAATAGAAATTGAAAAAAACATCGAAATCATTGAAAAACGATAGTCCAAAGTGTACTAAAGTTTATTGAAAAATTAAGCCTGATCTGGTTGATCTTTTAAGCTAAAATTGTTTCCTAAAATGTGCGAAAAGCTATCGTAATCTGTTTGGAAATGTTTGGCATTGTAAATGAAAGGAATTGTAAGTTAAAGAATTACTTCTAAGGGAGAAATAGAGACAGAAATAGAGACAGAAAAAGGAAATGGATTAGTTTGACTTACTAACAAAGTAAACAGTAACAAACAGTAACAAACAGTAATCAGATTCAGTAGCTATTACTATCTTATTACTATCTTATTACTATCTTATTGTTTGCTAATTTTTAAACGCAAAAAAAACTAACCCGAATCTGGCAGTGATCGCCGGAGAAATAAGGCGCACAAAGGCAAGAATAGTCGTTTTTCGTCGCGTTCCCGGGCACACATGTGCCCTCATTCCAACAAGGATATGTATCACAGATTGAGCCTTCTAAATTGAATTGAGATTGTCCATGTTATTGATAGTTTTGCTTAGATAGCTCTTGCTTAGATAGCTCTTGCTTAGAGATCTCTTGCTTAGAGATCTCTTGCTTAGAGATCTCTTGCTTAGAGATCTCTTGCTTAGAGATCTCTTGCTTAGAGATCTCTTGCTTAGATATTAGCTCTACATGCTCATGTTTAACCGTTTAACCGATACTTTCGCTATAGATAAACATTGATAAGGTTTATGTGGTTGCTGCTCATTGGTTAGTGCTTGCTCATTAAAAGTCGTTACGTTAAAATTCCTTTCAACAAGGATCTGTATCACAGATTGAGCCTTCTAAATTGAAATTGAAATTGCTCACATTATTGATAGCTTTGCTTAGACTTGCTTATCGATATTATCTCTACAAACGGCATGCTCATGTTTAACCGTTTGACTGAACATCGATTTGTGATGCTATCGATAAACATCGATTTTTGATGCTATCGATAAACATCGATTTGTGATACTTTCTCATTAAAAGTCTTTATGTATAGAATAGCAATCAAAAGCTGACATTCTTGGCTTTCCAATGAAACAATTTGCAGATTGATAGCTGCTCTAGAAACCTAGATCTGAATTGTTAAAAATGAGCTTATAGCGTATCGTTAATATCGATAAACAAGTCAAGTTTTGATTCTAAATGATCGAAATCCTTTGCATTTAACTGGTAATTTTTATTTAAAAGTTTAAAAGTAAGATTTAAGCTTAAACTTTTTACAGTTATCAAACGAAATTTAAAAAAAAAACAAAACATAAATCTTTCTTCAAAGCTTTTTCAAAGCGGAAACGAAAAAAAAGATAAACAAATTTAGGTTTGGTCGCGTTTTTTCTCGAAAAAATGGTTGAATAGATTGAATTACGAGGGAAAAATGGAGCTCAGCGAGCGTTATTGATGATGAGACGTGAAAGAAATGAAATGAACGGAGATCTTGCCAGTAGGGCAATTGGAGAATGAATCGTTTTTTGAGGTTATCTATGTTACGTACGAATTACGACCTAAGAGGACTTTTTGAAAGACAACCGACTTGATGGCAAAACAAAAGATGTGCAAAATCTATGGATATATCAGAAATATATCAGAAAACAAATCACAGCTCATTTGGTTTGGTAGAAATTTTTTTCTTGAGGTCTAAAGTGAAGGTCCTTAAAATATTGGGTTGGTGAATTGAAAACTGCGGGCTATTGTCATATGTCACTTTCTTCAGAAGAAACCCATTTTGGTGTCAATGGAAAGATTGTAGAGAATCAAAAATCAAGCTTATATCCAAATTTTCAGAACGATTCAAAAACTGGTTTTGAAGAAATGTCAAATTTACGAATTTTCACAAAACTTGCAATAAATTTTAATTTTAAGCGAAACTACTAAGTGTATTTTTTTGGAAATTTGGCTATAATCCTAATTTTTGATTCTCTACAACTTTTCTATTGACACCAAAATGGGTTTCTTTTGAAGAAAGTGCTCAAACTGGGACTTCTCCAGTCTCCAGTCCTCCTTTTTGAGTCTCACACTTGTCTCACACACTTGTACTGGGAGTTGATGGATAGCAAGACGACCGTTAATGCAATCAAATACAGTGGACTGTTGGGAAAGGTGAATGAATCCCTCAAGAAGAATAGGCCCTCCAAGTCAAAGATCATTCTCCTCCACGACAACGCGCGCCCTCATGTTGCAAAACTGACTCGCTCTAAAATAAATAGCCTTATTTGGGAACTTTTGTCGCATCCCCATACAGTCCGGACTTTGCCCCTTTTGATTACTATTTATTCCGGATCATGAGTAATGAGCTTGCGGGAGAACACTTCGATTTGGAAGAAGCAGTCAAAAATTGGCTTTGAAAGTTTTTCGATTCAAAACCAAAATCCTACTACGAAAGAGGAATCCGCAAATTGCCTGTAAAATGGGCAGAAGTCGTCAATAATAATGGAAATTATTTCAAATGAATTGATGGTTTTGTGTTGAATAAATTTTAGTTCAAAGTCCCGCAGTTTTCAATTCATCCACCCAATAGCTATAAAAATTCACCAATCAACCAAAAAAGTTGTACAATGGCTCATTTTGTTGCAAATTTTACGTAGATTCTTAAAGTGAAACAACATCTGACATTTCTCTTTTGTAACAGGGAGAAATGAGTCGCCAACTGGTTTTCGGGGAATCCCCTAACTTGCAGCGAAAGACTGAAGTTAGTTGGCGCTATTTTTCTCCCACTTTCAACCAATAACTGTTCGATGTGGCTTCTCTTAAAGAAGCTACATAAAATTCACTTTAAAACAAGCTATTTTACAACTTTTTTGGTTTAGTAGCGAGCTTTTTCTAGCCATTTTAAGAAATTTTTGAACCCTAACTTTGGATTTCCATAAAAAATTTTCTACTAAACCAAATGAGCTGAAATTTGTTTTACGATTCGATTGCTAGACGTAGAATATATATATATTAGCGGATGATCTATAGCTGTACAATGTGATTAATGAAATCTGATTCAGAAAAGTATTCCTAATGGTAACTTGTTCCTGGTAATTTACCATTAATCTAAGTCTAACTTTTACTCTCAAATAAACGCTCATATCTTGTCACCAGTACGTTTGTTTTTATTTGCTTTGTTATCAAATAAAAGTAGAGATAATGGGTAATCTTTTGAACTATAACACTTATTTTTAACATTAACCAGCGCTTAGAGAAAGATGATTGAAAATTGGCTTTTTTACGAAAATCGAAAATTGGCTCTAACTTTACTCTCAAATAAGGCGCATATCTTGACATCAGTACGTTTGTTTTTGTTTGCTTTGTTATCAAGTTAAAGTAGAGAGAATGGGTGATCTTTTGAGCTATAACACTTATTTTTAACATTAACCAGCGCTTAGAGAAAGATGATTGAAAAGTGGCAAAAAAAAAAAGGAGCCGCTTCACCAGTTCCTTGAAATCACTTTTTGAAGGAATAGCTTTTTACCAGGCTTTTCTTTGCATACTCTGTGAAACAAGAAAAATAGAAACACGGCTTTTCTGGCGCACTAGGCGTTCAGCTTTTTCCCCTCATTCAATCATTTTCCTAGATGGTCAAAGAGAGTTGATCTCTGAAAAGTGATTCTTTTCAACAAAGAGATTTCCGCTTGCAAATTCGAAGAGCATTCTGCTTTCTTTCCCTTTCTTTTCCTTTTTTTTCTGCATTTGACATATGGCCCTTCATTTCCCTCTTTTTCATCTTCCTTTCAAAGTTGCATGTTTAGATTTTTCATTTTCCCCTTTTCCTTAAAAAAAATACTTAGAAAAACTAATCTTCTGGTAAAAGAATAACAAGAACAAAAGCCAAAAAAAAAGAATGAGAAAGCTTTCGTTGTTAAACTGCTGTAGGTGAAATAGTTTATGAACTTACCAGCCGA